CAGAAAAGTTTCTTTTCGACCTTATGACGAATTGTACTATTGCACTATTGAAAAAATTTAGCTGAATTTTCCGGTATAAGTCCTGGAATTCGATGTAAGAGAAAAAAGGCAATGGGATTTCAAGTTTTTCTGAAAATTCAAGTAAAGTCCCTTTTTTTAGCGGCGGGAAGACGGAAATTCCATAATTTCCATAAATTTTCAAGTGAAAATGAATATTTTCCACCAAATTTCCTTCAATTTTCAGGAGATTCCTTTAAAATTCTTGGAATCCCAGGAATTTTTGAAGGAACTCCCTGAAAATTCTGAGGAATCTAAAATTCAAGTAGAGATTTCGCTGAATATTCCTGATTTTTCATTAATTTCTCTGGAATAATTGAACTGACATTTACAGTTCCCACGGATTTTTCCATGAAATTATGAATTTTTAATGACAAATTTCCTCGAAATTTCAGTGAAAATGTATGTTGCTTAGTAAAAATTTCCAAGATTATTCTCGGAAATTTCAGTGGAAAATTTTTAAGTGTGGTTGCAATTTCTCCTACTCTTATCGGAAATTTGTGTCCGTTGACAGTTCCACTGAAATTTCAAGGAGATGTGTCATTAAAAATTCACCATTCGATGAAAAAATCACAGAAAATTTAAATTTCACCTATTCTATGAAAACGAATAAAAATCAGAAGAATTCCGCAAGATACATTTCTGAATTTTTAATCAATTGAAAATTCACGTAAATTTGAAAATCACCATCCTCCTGTCTCTTAAAAATTGACAATTCAATTGAATTTCCAAAGAAACCCAAATTATCCATCAAACGTTCCCAAAATACCCTCTAAACTCTCTGCAAACCGATCTCCTTCGAAACCCCAGCGAGATTTCCACCGCAAAGCGCTGAGGAGCAGGAAAGAATTATTTCTGAACTCCCAAACCTATTCCTGTCGTGGAGTTGAGACTAAAATAGGTCATCAGGTCGTCCTCTCCATCGAAAATTTCCGGGCTATCCAATGAGATTGTTGTAAACTCCCCGTCAGACCAGATACCGCCGAAACTTGCTGGACAACCAAGTAAAACAGATCTAACAAACTTGAGAAATTCCAGTGAACCACATATTCACCAATGCACTTTCCGCAACTTGATTTCCCCTCCATCCAATACAGATTTGCCCCCCAACTTTGGTATAAAATAAATCCTGACGTATTTTCCATAAATAGGAGAGTAAAGTTTCACTCGAGAAAATGGAATTGTTCGACAGTAAAAGCAGGAAAAATGTTGTTTTCCGTTCTCCCCGGATTGTAGTTGAAAATATAGTAGGAAAACATTGCTAGTGGTATCGAGTCAGAAGAAGAATAGTGGAGACAAAGAAAAGTGTAGAGAGCAGGGTTGAGCGTTTGAGGGTTGGAAAAAGTCGAGTTGAGCATTAAGACCAGATTGAAAATTGAATTATTAACGAAAGACTCGCCGTCCGGCATATAAATCATACGGAAATATTACTTTTCTTGGGGCGGAAACGTGACTATCCGTCCTCAGCCCACCCAACGTTTTGCCAATTCAATGGTGGGAGAATACGACTGTCCTCTCTGGGTCTGCACCCTCCTCGATCCTCTTCTCTGCCTTTTAAACCTTTTTTTTCCACCATCCGCATCCGCTTCCCCCGGCACTTCCGGCTGTGTTAGTCGGCGATTTTAATGATTTTTGCGGTTCGCACGGATATCGAGTTGCGACACTCTTCTCTTCATTTCCTCTCAATCTCTTGACACTTTTTCAAAGCTTTCTTTTTGGTTATCTGGCGATGAGAAAAGTATTGGAGCGATTTTCTTTGATTTGTTTTTTTTTTGGAATTGGACAAGGGAATTTTTTAAAGAATATTCAAGTAATATTGACAGTTCTTGGCGGATTACGAAATTTAATCCGTTTAAAGTAGCATAAACATTCCGGGGCCAAAGTGTCAGATCTTGGATTTTTCCCGGGGGAAAGTCGACTTTCGCTAAAATCGAATTTTTTCGCCAAGTGAATGTTGATTTCGTATTCATTGGCCTCTTTAATGCCCATAAAACCCTTAGAGGGCCCAGAAATGGAGAAAAGAAAAAAATTTTTTTCACCCGGGGCCAAAGTGTCAGATCTTGGATTTTTCCCAGGGGAAAATCGACTTTCGCCAAAATCGAATTTTTTCGCCAAGGGTAGGTTGATTCTGTATCTACTGACGATTCTGATGCCAATGAAACCCTCGGAGATGCCAGAACTGTCGAAATAAAAAATTTTCATTTTCACCTGGATCAAGAGTCAGGTTTTTTAACAATTTCATTTTTTATTCAGACAACACATGCAAGCGAAGGGATGTGGGTGGCTAGAATAGATTCTGCCACCTTCTCCCCTTGTTGGGTTAAAATTTCAAACCTCCGCATACGTGCGTCTCCTCTCCACCCCCTCATGAAATGTCGATTTCCGAGATTTTTAAAAAATTTAATAAATGCATTTCTTATTTCACTAACGCATGCATACGGAGGCATATGAAGATAAAATTGTACAAAACATCTCTTCAACAATTTACAAGTCCCTTTTCAGAGAGATTACAATAATAAATTTTATTAACTTATTTTAAATTTTTCTGACTTCTTTTTTTTTCTCTTTTTTCTGTCCTTATTGAATCGATTCCTGCAAGATAATTCTTTTCTGGTCTCATCAGAGTGTGACATTTCTATCAAAGCTCCTAAATTATTCTTCGACATCCTTTCCCAATGATGGAAAATAAATCATTGCAGTTGTCCAATGGATTCGTCAATTCCCTCGATTCCCTGTTTAATTTGATACACGTCCTCACTGATTACCGAGATCGCTTATATACCCACCCTCCCGACGATCGAAGCGCTCAAAAGTCAGTCGCGTCCTCAATTTATTCCTCCGGTTTTTCGAAATAGGATTCACCTCTCCAACATTTTATACTCAATTCCATCATCAGATGAGGTTCTCCAGAATTTATTGATTGACCTCTTAACCGAGAGCAGAATCAACTCCGGAGGAAACCTCATCTTTATAAGTTTTCGACCTCCATTCGGTTCTGATAAATTCATGAACCCCATCTAAAGCCTCTCATTTAATCTCGCTTTCAAATATAGACAACTTCTCTTCCAATTCCTCACAATTTCAATCAATTATCCCATCAAAATGTACCAGGAGTTATAGAGATACTCAGCATACATCTTCATACATATTTCCTGACTATTTCTGACACCGTGAAATTTTCGGTGACGTAAACGATTCCGACGCTATGAAGGAAGAAAATGAAAATGTAGGGAGCGCACACCGTCTGTTCGTTTCTAATATCTTGTGCGGCACTGACAAATGCTAGAGTAAGGACAGAAGCCATGGAGAATATGTGCCATTTGTGAAGACACATTATGACACTGAAAGAGTCTGTACGTATGCCGCAAAAACGAGAGAGATATTTCTCTGTGGCTCGAATTTGTGACTTGCAGACTGCTAGAATGATATGTTCAGGGGAAATTGTTTCCATTCGTGCTATATCGGTTTCTTTAGAATTATCATGCTCATAACGTGGAGGAGAACAGTTTCAAGTTTTCTGAATTGGTTGATCGATTTCGAGAGATTTGTGGCTTCAAGATGCTTTGTACGTAGAATAAAAAATTGTTTACTTCATTTAGAACGAAAAATCGGGAAGATTGAGTATCAAAAGGCTACTTCTTTTGAGGGAGAAATTCTTTGGAAAATAAGAACGGGGCATTTCTTAAATTAACAACACAGCATTTTGGAATAGACGTGTGACATCTCCTTTTTATATAAGAAGAGAGATTGCGATTGAATTTACGTGAATATACTTCCCCTACCAGATGTAAATAAATATATCTATTTCACCTCAAAGTAGTATGATTAACTCCTCAGGTGGAAATTTTTCGCGTGACAAGACTTTTCATTTTTCACTCGAATAGCTTGCCTTATCGATCGATGAATGCACATCTGTAGCGCATCAAAATAGCGTTATATCCACCCAGGCATTTGCAAACCACTCACCGAAAGCATTACGGTGGAACCCATCGTTTCGCCTGTGTCATGTTTCATTCCCTCAGCCCACCACTCTACCCCACCTCATTCACCTGACTACCGAACTCTCCGGATGCATTAACTACAATGTATCCGCAATCTCTGCTGTAATTTCCGACCGAGTCCCTCAAAAGTTGTGACTCCGTGATGACACGAACTTATTGCATTATGATCGAGGGCGGGTATGTGTTTGATTGATGGAGATGTGATCGGAGTTTATTCATGACTCCATGTAACTGAATTGATGAGGATATTGAAATCAATGCATATGATGATCGGAATAGTGTCGTTCGAAAGTCTGAAGTATCCATTTTCGAGCACTGAGAATTATTTATGAGGTAATTTTCTCACATATATAAAAAGCACTTTTTCAATGACATAAAAAGTTTTTACTGATAAACAGTTTCGTTTTTTCGGAATTTGTGACCAATTATTACTAATCAATAATAATTAGTATTAATTATTATAATTATTGATAATAATTAGTCCTAAAGAAACATTCGTCAAGAGATTTTGTCATTCTACCGTACATGAGAATAATTTGTTTATTAACAAGAGAGGGATTTCTCAAACCAAGTCTAATTGAGCCAATTTATTAAATAGTTTTTATGTCTTGAATAGAAAATATTTTAATGCCAAAACAACTTGACTTGGTTTCAGAAGTCGCTCCCTTCTTGTGAACAAATTTCTTCTCATCTGTCGGACAAGTACAAAATCTCTTGATGAAATGTTTCTTTTCTCAGTGTGACATATTTTCTTCTAGTGAATTATCGAGCTGCGAGTTTTTTGCTAAAGAAGTACTGCGCAAACAATTTTTCTTGTACTCTGAAAATTAGTGATAACATAACTGAAAATTAGTGATAATCTCACTGAAAATTGGTGATGGATTCCCAAAAATTACAGATGAATTCCTGAAAATCAGTGACACTGAACTGAGAAAAAACAGCTTTGTTGCATAGAAAATACTTTATTTACAGCCCATAGGTGTATTTACAATAACCTAATCTAGAAGCATATAAAAAAGTGATGATAAATTACTCCTACAATGGAAAAATTAAAATTGAAAAATCTACCACTACAACATTTATATGTATTCTATTCCCCTAGAGTGTTTCTTCCACTCGAAAAGTTCTAAAAAAACATTCATCCATGTTTAAATCTATTTCCTGTCATCTTAAAGTCTTTTCCTCGGTGAAAACCACTTTCACAATGTACAGAAGCATTTGTATCCAACCAAGTCATCTTCACTCCCCCCTCCAAACAAAAAAAAACAAGATTGAGTGCATTTTTCATTTCAAATGGTGGAGAATGCAAGTCCCAGTTACAACATTTTCATCTTTTCATTTCAACTCGACAGTGAGACACCCTCACGTTAGTCACTCAACCCCGTGTTGTGACACACGCAAACGTTTATATATCCCTGGAAATATGAAAGTCGAGTGAAGCACAGTTTGGTAAACTCTCCGGGCGGTTTATGCAGAGATGGCCCCTCACCCCTATCACTGGATGGCATAACCACAGCTCAGGATGATACGACGAGCATTCAGGATATCCGTGTCGTGCACATGCCTACATCTAGATTTCTGTGATGGCACAGTGAATTGCTTGGTACCCACAGCATTTAGTCAGCATTTTTCGCTGATCAAACATTCTGGAAAACATGAAAATTTGAATGATTGCGTGCTGGAGAAGTTTGAGATATTTGTTTAGGTCCTTTGTATCTTTGTAATCAAAACTGAGAGATTTAGTGATGTAATATCACGTGAATAATTTCTTGATTTCGGGAAATGGAGTGATGTGAAGAATATTTGATGCAGTGTAACAGATTTACTTGAAGGAAATTCATCAATTCAATGAAGAAAATTTGAGATCTTTCACAAAATTGAAATGTTTGTCATGAACATTAGAAACGTCCTTTGAAACATTGGAAATGTCTGCAGGAAGATATTTGGCGTAAGAAGATCCCATAGGAATCCTGACATTGATTAAACTAATTAAAGAAATGAAAAATTAATTTTTATGGGGATAAAATAGTCCAATGGATGCTGTTCTGAAATTGAAATTTCCAACATTCATTCGAGACAGATGAAGAAGGACTAGAAAAATAGAGTAATAAAAAATATAATTATTAATGAGACAGTCTCGTCCACTCGACACTCTCTCTCGATGCATTTTTCACACTCGATTTTTATGAAATTCTCTCGTCACAAGATACAAATTACCGCATAAAATGATACGGAAACGCAATGCAGGAGTTGCGATATCGTTATCGTTATACGTTAAGGTTATATGACCCACAGTCCTTCTGCTTCTCCACTTGAAGATTTATATCGTTGGATAAGCCAGCGACATTAAACTCTATTTCCCCTCCCCCCCTTACGTTTCACCTATACACAGGGTCCTCTTTTACCGTATAAAACCAGTTTCGCTGAATTTCCTACCAGCATTTACGATTTATCACGGGCGTTTCGCCTTTAGTGAATGCGGGGGAGAATAGAAAACCTTATGAATTAATTTTGCGGAGGGAAAACTCAGTGAGTTTCTGGGAATTGCAGGGGGAATCATGAAAAATTGCGTTTATCTCAGTCTCTCTATTCATGCTGAACTGTTTATTTATGCTAAACAAATTCGTTATGAGTTTTTGATAATATTGCCAGAATTGATTGGATATGAGGCTTTCAGAACGGAATGTCAATAACATTTCTTGACAGTTTCTCCTTCTGTCAGTTATTGCCAACATTAATTAATTTAGTTTAATCCGCATTACTTGAATTGCTCATTAACATCGATTATGTTGATTTAGAGATTTTGATTTTTTTTTTTGAATCATTTTATTATTTTTTTTAATTGTTCGTTTTTCACTACATTTTTAATTTCTGATATTCAAAAATTGATACAGAAAACATAGACAATTAAAACTGAGAGTTTTTCAATAAAATCGGCGATAAATAAATATATTTTTCAGTAGATACATCCAGAGTAATGGTTTATTTTAATTAAATGGGTGGATTTTTATTATTCTCATATAAATTCATTTGAAAAGAAAGAAATTATTCATTTCATAGAATTGAAACAGATCCATTGGAATAAACATATGAGTTTATAATTCCCATGAAAAATATTGTTGAAATGAATAGGAAAACTGGAAGTGGAGAGTTTTACTTTTTTCGAATGCCTCATTTCAATGGGTGTACGCTTCATTATTCAATATATACCGCTGGTTTTTCTCAATCAATATGATTAAATACAAACGCAGAAACACTGTGGAGTTTTTCAATACGCCCAGAGAAATGATTCATTTGAATTAAATGGATGGGTTATTTTAAAATAACTCATAATAACGCCTTTATTTAAATTTAAAATTTTCGTTTCTCGTAGAGATGCATTTGGACAAAAATAAATTATTCATTTCATACAATTGAAACAGTTCCATTGGAATAAATATGTGAGTTTATAAATGCTGACTAAAAATATTGTTGAAATGAATAGGGAAATTAGAAACGAAGGGTTTTATTATTTTATTATTTATTTTTAACGGAATTTATTTATAAGTTCCAAGGGACTTGCAACTGGCCATCGCCCGAGGGCCTTCAGCCAAATGGTTTTATTTTATTCAAATGCCTTATTTCCTTGGGTATACGATTCATTATTTAATATATAGTCTGAGAAAAAAATTACTTCCTCCAAGTAAATTTACTTGCCACAAGTAACTGTATATAAATATTTGCATTTAAAATGTGTGGATTTTCTTGTAGTCAGTGAATTGACTTGAGAAATAGTACATTACATGCCCGAGCCTTGGAAAACAGATCACCGTCCCCCACGTGCAAGATTGCCTTCTGAGCCGAAGGCGAGGATGGCAAGCACGTGGGGGAGGGTGATATGTTTTCAATGGCGAGGTGTGTATACTAATTTTCGTGTCGAGGGACCTGCAAAACGCCAATTTCGTGGCGCGCAGCGGCACGAAAATGAGGTTTTTCAGGTCCCGTGACACGAAAAGTAATATTTTTTCTCAGTGTACCTCTAGTTTCTCTCCATCAATACAATTAATACAATCAATTCAATGGACGGGTTGGTTCAGAAAAGCTCATAATGAAGTTTTTATTTAAACTTAAAATTTTTTCATTTTATAGAAATTCATTTGGAAAGAAATGTCTTATGTATTTCATTGAATTGAAACTGTTCCATTGGAATAAATATACAAATTCATGAATTCCCACCAAAAATTCTATTGAATTAAAGAGGAAATGAAGGGTTAACCCTTTGCTTCGTTTCACGGTACCCCACTCTTCGCCGTTTTTTAGTGATGTACGTGCGCTAGCGGGTTTTTCTTACGGCGCGCTACTACTCGGACGGACCCCCCACTCCTCTCACACCGAGACTGAGTTTGAAATTTTTTATTTTCGTAGAAATTCATTTGGACAGAAGTGAAATCAGTGAATCAGAGTGAAGTGGTCAATCGGTTTAAGCCGACGTAGTTCCCAGTTGAGTTTTTATTGAATAACTGGGAATTTAAGAACGATAGCGAATTTTTTGTAAGATCTTTTTCGATAGCGTTCATTTTTCTTTACAAAAAAGATTTTTAGGTAAATTTTGCAAACTCCTTTAGAATTTGAGATATTCATCGAGAACTGGCGCTAGAATAGAATTGACTTAAACCGTTTGACCACTTCACTACTGAATTATTTATTTCGTACAATTGACACAGTTCCATTGGAATAAATAAATGAGTTTACAAATCCCCACCAAAAATATTGTTAAATGAGTAGAAAAACTAGGAATGAAGGTTTTTGTTTTATTCGAATGTCTCATTTCTCTGGGTGTAATACTCATCATTTAATCCGTACCTCTGGTTTCTCTCCATCAATATGATTAAGAGCAATGGCCTCGGGGAGGTCGCACTTCTTCACCTCCTTGACACCGAAAACCAATTTATAAAGGAAAGCTCCAGCAACAGCTCCAGCATAGGGTCCCAACCAATAAATCCATTGATGCTGCCAGACGCCATTCCAAATAGCTGGTGCGAAAGACATAGCTGGGTTCATGATGCAGCCAGTGTAGGGCCCAAAGACAGTGGCCAAACAGGTGACGGTAAGGCCGAACCTCAGGGGAGCTGAGTCGTGATTGTGGTGGTTTCTCTGGTCCCAGACTGCTCCAGCTACCAGCAGGAGAATCAATGTCGCCAGGAACTCCACGAACAATCCCTGAGTTGATGACACCTTGTCGGCGAGTGCGGTCACGCAGAAAGATCCTTCGCCTTCTTGTGGTCTCGCCCGCATCATGCCTGATGGCGTTGCCAGCTGAATAACATCGAAAATGCTCTTACGTAATCGAGGGCATAAGCTAACATCTCAGTTGATACGAATTGATAATGGCTGTTTTGCATCGTGATACCTTGAACTACGATGACTTAATTGATACTGAATGATCGAATGAGCTCTTTCATCGAGAGAAGAGTAAATTCATTAGCTAAAATGAACTTCTACGTTTACTGAAAATACTGGATACTAATTTTTATTTTTTTTTTCTTCTTCTAGAATTCAATGGGGGTAAATGCTAGTGGAGAATCAACAAATATTTTTTGGAAAATTCGGGGGGAGGGATTTCTATAGAAACAATCTCAACTGAATAAGTTGTGTTTCAAAATCAGAATATTTTGTATTCGAGTGATGGAATTTCTCGAATTTTTCCAGTCGTATGCATATCCATTGAGTATCAAGATATTTCGTCCTTATTAAAAAATAATTGTTCATTGGAAAAGATTGAAATCAAAAACAGTTGGTAAAAATCTTTTTTTTTATGGACAAAAAATGTGTGAAATTCTTTGAAAATTCTAGTAGAATCGTAATAACATTCATGATTAATTCGTATTCATGAAGGGAAGTCTTTGAACAATACGAAATGATTTTTATAGATGTTGCAAAACTCAATGAATTGATAGGAACATTGTTGTTAACGATGCATTTATCTTAGAAATGATTGATTTTACGAGGAAAGGTCAATATGTATTCTCAGTAGCTGAGGAAATTCGGTACTAAAAACAACTCATAATATTCCATACTCGAGAAAGATAACCCGGTATTTTAACCTTCAACACAGAACTATTGAATTCCATTCGTCAGATTTATTTTCATCGTTTATTCGAAGTCAAGTGCAATAAGCTGCTCCATATCTCTTTACTCACCCTTAACAAACCATAGCCCAAGAGAGTCCCGATGTACTGTGCGACAATATGAACTGCAGCTTGAGTCATGTTTTTTTTTCTAAGTATCACAGCTCCAACTGTAATCGCTGGGTTAACATGTGCACCACTGATGTGGCCGAATATCTGGGAATGAAAATCATTGATATCGACTTTGCTGCAGAGGAAATTTCTCCTAGGTTATTTTAGTTCATCTAATTGATTCACAAAGAAGAAAAAGTTTTGATTGCTAGGGACATGTCACTAATTTTTAGGCACATATCACCGATTTCCAGGGGCATATAACTGATTTTTAATAGTCTATCCCCAATTGCAAGGGATTCGCGATTGTGAAATTCAGTGAGTGGAAAATTCTGAAATTCAGTGATTTTGTCACCGATTTTTAGTGACATTATCATGAATTTCCAGAGTAATGTCACTGATTTTACAGCACTGATCTCTTTTTAACAATCTATCACCAAATTGCAGTGATAAAAATCACTAGCGATATGAATCACTCTAGTCAGTCTCGAGTATCACCAATAATTGGGGATAGATTCCCCAAAATCAGTGACATATTCCTGAAAATCATTGACATGTCCCTGAAAATCAAAAAATTTTATTCCACATAAAACATCTTATTGATTTTGTTCTCTGTGGTCTTAATTGAGTCATCCGTGCAAATGTCAAAGAGTCACTGAATTGTCGCGGACAAGTTATTCTTGAATTTTGATGATCGAGAGAGTTCAATGTAAAACTAGCTCTGGGTATCGGTGGGTAATGAATTATTATTAATAGCCATACTAAATTGGTAATTTGGAATTATTAGTGGCCATTCTGTGGAGATAAGTGAAATTATTATGTAGACGACGAACAGACGGAATTAATTAACATCTAAGAATTCTTTATTTGCATAAACTTAACGCGTTTAATTCAATCGAATGCGTCATTTCTCTGGATGTAGCAGTTTCAAATTCTTCCGTTTACAAATTCGTCGCTAGAAATATAAATTGTTTTTGTGTGTGGGAAATAAACTTTAAGAGAGAGCATCCATATGAATGAATATCATCATCAGAGATTAAATTTCCATCGAAACGTTTCGACATAAAAACTCGCAAAAACAAATTTGCAAACTCCGAAGCTTCACACGGAGAGAAATTCTTTAGAAAAATTCCAGTGCTAGCATGGGAAAAGAGGCGCAACGTGATGGCTAGGAAAAAATTCCAGTGCCGGTACTAGAAATTTTATTGAGGAAAACGTGAATTTTCCCCCGTATTTCTGTGAAAGCTTCACAGAAATCCCCAGAAATTTTACCAGAAATACCAAGAAATTTTACCTTAACAGCCCCAGAATTTTTCACAGCCAGTGGATTGTGATTTTTTTCAGTACTCGTACTAGAATTTTTCTAGAAAATTTCTCTCCGTGCATAAACCCCCAAAAACCCGAATTCTCCGCGTTGTAATTTACGGATGTATTCACCTGGATGACAATCATAACAGCGAATCCAACGTTGAGGGTCAGTTGTAGATAATCAGGCACTCTCGCATTGGTAGTCGCAATAGCCCCACCACAGGCAAGGAGCATGAGAATTGCAGAACCAATGAGTTCTGCCATTCCGCATAGCAGAATATTCCGGATATTGCCATCTCCTTGCATTAGCCTCTGCAATCCTGCACAAAACAATCCAAATATCAAACTCGGGGAAGAATCTGGTGGAATATAAGAAAGGGGATATTGGAAAAATCGTTGCGTCTGGTTTGACTTCTTGTTTATTCACATGTTTTGTTTAATTGTTTGCACATTGTCTGTTCTGACATTAATATTATAGAAATAGAAATAGTTTGACTAGACGTAAATTGCTGTCAAGAACCTGATGAAGCTAAGATAATTTAACGCAACGTCGCACTGTGACAATTTAATCAACGTCGTAATTGTTTCTCCAGTATCCCCTCACGTATGAAAAAATCGTATGGAAATTTTCTATACGAATTGCGTATAGAATTTTTTTATAGGATTTTCGTATATGATATTCGGATATTTCTATACGGATATTTGTTATACAAATTATTTCTATACGATTTCTATAGGTTTGATTCTATACGACCCACTGCCACATGTATAGAAACATTTCGTATGGAGTTGCGACATTATTTCTCTACGTTTTTCTCTGGAGCGTTTGGACATCTTTCGTATGAAAACAAAAATTTATGTGAAAATTTATGTATAAAAATAATTCGTATAGAAATATCTGAAGATCATATACAGAAATCCTATAGAATCTCTATACGCAATCCGTATAGAGAACATTTCTATACGATTTTTTCATACGTGTTGACCTTTCTTATATTGATTAATATCAGGGAAAAGAATCATTGAATCTGGTTAAATTGTTGGAGCAGTAGTTCAAATATGTTGTCAATTGTTGAGACCTTTTTTCGTATAGGAATTTTCTTCTCCACACTGCAGGTTCTGACAGGTTCAAATCTAAAACGATTTATCTACCAGATAATCAATACAGATTTCATATCTTAATCAATGTTTCCATGTATGTATTTTATTGATTTAACAGCAATTCTATTGAGACAATCAGTAAAGTAAACAAATCAGGAAGATGAATGATCAGATTTCGATGTTCTTATATGGATTATTCTATAGAAATTGCTTGACATCAATTTTCTAAGTATTTTCAATGAAACTTTATTGAGGTTTTCTATAAAATATATTCTATTGAACCTTCCTATTGAATATTTGATTTATTTATGGATATTTTGTTTCAACTTTTATTTATTGATCCATCGGTTATAAAAAAAAACAGTGAAAAGCTGTGGGTAAAGGGAAAATGGCTCTCCATTGGCTTTTTCACTTCCGGCCATTACCCCTTTAGACAGGGCTTTTTTTTATTCCTATTTTTTAGTTATTGTCTATCTAATTATGTTACTGTTATAAGATTGTACCTGTAGGAACCTGTAAATGGATAATTTTCCATTAACTATTTCCTAGGAAGAATTTTCCAGCAAATGGGCCGAGTTTCCCAATTAAATTTTTTCTCAAGTGTCTCATTTATTAGTTAAGAACCTCAATAATGAGTGCCTTAACGAGATCTAACTATCAAGAGACCATTTTTAGGAATTTTATCGTTGGAAATTCATAATTTCATGGAATAATTCACGGGAACTGTAAATTGGAGTTTTATTACTTCAGAAAAATTAATGAAAAACCAGGAAAATTCTGAGAAATCGCACCTTGAATTTCAAGATCCTTTGAATTTTTCGGGAATTCCTAAAAAATTCCTGGAATTTCCAGAATTTCAAAGGTGTTCCCGAAAAATTCAAATTAATTTGGCAGCGGATATTAATTTTCATTTGAAAATTCATATAAATTGTGGAATTTCCGTCTTCATTCTGCTAAAAAATGACACTTTAGTTGAATTTTCCGAAAAATTGCAAATTCCATTGATTTCATCCTCTTAAATCGCATCTAAGGTCTCTTTCCAAAAAATTCAACAAAATTTTTTTAACAGTGTGCCGTGCTTTGATTTGATGAAATTTTATGATCACACTCCTTCATTATGAAATTTGTTATGACATAGATTTTATGTGGCCGTCATATCCCATCTAAATAACACAAATAATGCGGAGTCAGACACCGTGAAAAAAATTGGTGTTAAATTGACATCGAAAGGTATCCTAAGAAGTCCACACCGGATTTTTTACTGTGCATGACTGTCATAAATTCGTCATATGACAAAAAATAATGACGGTCATTTTCATATATCTATATTTTATTTCATATATTTCATGTATCCTTCCATTTTCATATTCCATTCAATAACTAGTGCCAAAATTATCGGAATATCTCCCCTAAATAATCAAAATCCCTCAAAAAGAAAGTCCTTTCACACATTTTCATAGCCCTGTTCCAGCCAACCAAGTCGTTAAATTCGACATGACTCGTTTTACAACATCACCACCCAATTCACCCGGAGAAACAATGTAGAAATGTTTCCTGACAACATTGGTCTCGACGTTGTGCACTATCGACATGTGCACCCACTCGTGTAACTCTTTTTCCTATTTCTCATCCACCCAGCATTTTGAAGAAACCCTTTTACCGCGCCATAAATCAACGTGACACACATTTTCCAAGATGCCTTATTTTTTTGAAAGAAAACTGGGCTGTCCTTCTCCATAAAGCTAGAGTACAGAGATAAGAACAAATGATGAAGAAAATGCGGCGTTAATATTCTCCCAGTAGTCATAAATTTTCTGGTACTTATTTCATGATTTATTGTCCTCTGGATTTTCATCCTTCTCACTCGCTGTTTTGGACGAGTGAATTAGTGAATTATTTCTCTCAGCGCTGGATTCAATGTGATTTAATATGGTTCTACCGAGTTCTGAATTGCTCATAAATAATTACAAGTATTGAGGATTTATTGAGTCTTGTCACAGTGAGAGGAAAAATTAGTTGTGCCGAAAGATTATGTGCTCCTCTGAAGAGATCTTTTAGTGAATGAAATCTCAAATAAAAATTCTGTTCAAGTTTGAATAGCTTCATCACGAGGCATAAAAATGAATCCCTGCACTGAGAGAAATATCGTTTTGAATCAATCTACTTGTGAACAAAAAAGAAAGTTTCCACCAAAATATGATAATTTTCGTTGTAGAAATTGTTCTCGTGAAACATTTATGTCTTTTGGGTAAATACATTCGTTCTACAGAGAATTATATGAGGCTTCGGTTTTATCAAGTGAATAGTATTGAGTAGTGTATATTTTTGTCCAATAGTCACTTATAATTTCCATGAAACAAATAATAATTTCAAGAGGAAACTACAATTTTCTCGCCGAAAACTGTGTTATTGGCAAAACTAAATAATTTCCATGGGTCAATTTTTTGGGAAAAAATATTCCTTCTTCATTAATGTATTCTTTCTATGGCATAGAAAGAAAGAATTTTTCTTGCCAACAATTCGAATTCTTCTATCGACATTTCTTCAAATATTTAATTTTTGTGAAAGACAGTAAATTTCCTTGTATGATTCCCTGAAATAAATTCATTCCACTCCATCAAATAGTCTCTCTCTCACTGCAGAGAAACTAACTAAATTCTTTGAATGATTATCTGATCCCCAATTCTTTTCATTTGATGAGGATCTAAAAATAAACACTACGAGACCTATTTAAATCATTCTCACAGTAAATGGATTTTCACAATGCACTTGAAATTCAGTACAATGTCTACACGTGATTTGTCAACTGCACGTGTTGCTTGTATTGCGCTCTGCATGTTGTATTGCCCGGGAGCAGTGTTTTGCTTAGTGATTAAGAGTTCAAGTGTAAAAATGGATAAATTTATGTGTGGGTGTCGAACTGGAAATCCCCGCGAGAAAAAATATTTTTATGTTTGAATCGTTTGTTCAGTTATTTCAAACATCAATCTTGGAATATTAGGACCCGGTGGCTTGGCGCAGTGGGTAAGTTCGTTGCCTCACATGCGAAAGGTTCCGAGTTGAAATCCCAGCCGGGTAGAATGGTGTGATCTAACCATTTTAAAGTCCTGATCATCATCGCAGTATACCCTAACCGGGTCGAAGCGATGTAAAATAACGATTAAAAAAAAAATCTTGGAATATTAGGAATTATTTATGGCTGACTATTTGCTCGCTCTCATGTTGAAACAATTCTTTTTATTTTGAAATAGTAGAATGTCATGAGTGAAATGAAGAAGGAAAAAAATCCAGTAAAAATAACAACATTTGTGCGGAATTTTCTCGGTAAATATTGGGACTTTTACTAGAGTTATTCTTTACTTTACTGCTTGAAAAATTTCATTGAAAAATGAAATTTTCTGTACTGCGTTTCACGATTTCTCGTCTGGGAATTGGTATTACATACTTCCCAAACTCGAAAACTTGAAAATCACTACAGAAAAATATTGTTCCTGAACTGTTGCGATGGGGTTTTTTTGCTCGTGCGGTTGGCCAGTCCTCGCCTACGGCTCGGAGGCCAACGCCACACGAGTAAAAAACCCCATCGCAACAGGCCGGAAAAATACTATTCAGGGACTGTTTAGTAGAAATTTTCAGGTCCACCACATTGAATTACAATTGGAGGAGGGGGTGTAGGGATTGTGGTGTGATGGGAAAGGCTTGAATCAATCCACTACTAACAATTAACGTAAAATTGTTGTTTATTACTAAACGCGTCTTAGGGATATTTACAAGTTATGAGAGAAGACGGTGACTCCCGAGTGTTCGGCGGTCAGTGCCGGACTGAATATAATATTCGCAAAAGGCGAGAATTCGGATACGCGTTACACTAGGTGCAAGAGAGAAGTATACATTATATTGGCGTCTGACAGAGAGCGATGATGTCAGTGATGTCCAGTCGTCTCAACTACGCACGTCGCGTCCGTGTACTAATGCGTAAATGTGGATGTAGCGTGGCGCTACAGGGGGAGGGGGGAATCCTGAATTTTCAAATTTCGCTGATTAATTTCCCAATTCTGATTTTGAAGAATTAGAGTGCAGTATTCGGGGTCACGGGGACCTTCACGTCAGTTTTATTTTAATTATTCCCTCCATTCAAATCTCGTAAGGTCCAAAAAACGAAAATTCCCCAACATTCTTGAATCTTCAATCAAAACATCAGTATCCAGCAACAAATTAC